TCCTCCTCCTCCTCCTCCTCCTCCTCCTCCTCCTCCTCCTGCGGCGTTCGTAGTGAGTCACGTGCCGCACTTGAAGGTCAGGCGGTCAGGAAAGATTCGCGCAACGAGCCGAATGCACATCGCGCAAGGTACGCAGGAAATCCGAGGCAATGGCAATATGTGTCCGGGCACCGCCTACAATCAAATTCTACATGCTCCGAATGTATAATAAGGGGCGCTTCCAGCAGGCGCAGTTAGGAGGCAATCTCAGGCCCCAAGCTCGCCCAGGGAGCCTCAGCGCAATCGAAGCTGCGCGCAAGATAAACAGCACATACAACACAGTCAATGCATAAACCCGAACTACCGCCCCGCGCGGGGGGCGCGGCGAGTTAACCCTGCCCCACGCCACCTGGATAGTTTCCTCGGCAGGCGATAGGTCAGCAGGAGATACATTTCCTCGGGCCTGGCTATGATCCCGATCATGATCCTCCTCCTCCTCCTCCTCCTCCTCCTCCTCGTCGTCGTCGTCGTCGTCCTCTTCATCAACAGCATCATCATCAGCATCATCCTTTTCTTCAACATCATCATCTTCATAATCAGCATCAGCATCATCATCAGCATCATCATCATCATCATCGTCATCGTCATCGTCATCGTCATCATCATCATCACCACCACCACCACCATCATCATCATCATCATCATCATCATCATCATCATCATCATCATCATCATCATCATCATCACCACAACCATCAGCATCATCACAACCATCATCAGCAGCAACATCATCATAACCATCATCATCGTTATCATCATCATCAACATCATCATGATCAACATCGTGATCATAATCAGCATCATCAGCATCAACATCGTCATCATCATCAGCAGCATCATCAGCACCATCTGCATCAGCAGCATCAGCATCAGCATCAGCATCAGCAACAGCGTCAGCGTCAGCGTCATCAGCATCAGCATCAGCGTCCGCATCAGCGTCATCAGCAGCATCAGCGGCAGCAGCGGCAGCATCCTCCGCCTCCTCCTCCTCCTCCTCCTCCTCCTTTCCCCTCCCTCCTCCTCCTCCTCCCTCCTCTCCCTCCTTCCTCCTCCTCCTCCTCCTCCTCCTCTCCCTCCTCCCCCTACTCCTCCTTCCTCTCCTCCCTCCTCCTCCCCTCCCACCCTCCTCCTCATCTCTCCCCCTCCTCCTCTTCCTCCTCCTCCTCCTCCTCCTCCTCCTCATGTTCCTCCTCCTCCTCCATCCATGTCCCGCCGGACAGGGACGGGCGCCGTCTGCGCGGCTGCTTGCGGACCGTGCGCGTGCTGCCTCCGCCCGCGTGCGGGGGCCTCGGGGCGTGCCAGCCCGCGCCCTGCTGGGCGGCTCCCCTGCTCGTCCCCGCCGCTCGGCCGCTTCGCGGCGAGAGCGGGCCGCGCGGGCGCGCAGGCCCGAGGCTGCGCGGATGATGCCGAGAAGTCCAGCGTTTGATTGCGTGCATGTTCGTGGCGCCTGACGCTTTGGGCGCTTCACGGATACGCTTTGCGCAGCGCGAGCGACGTGTCATGGGGTGGGCGCGTGGAGCGAGATACGCCGAGGCGCCCCAGCGATCGGGGAGGTGCCCTCGGAGGCGCCGAGGCGCCCGGGCGATCTAGTAGTAGGAGAATACAGAGGTGTACTGCGTGCATATTGGGAAGTCGAGCCTGCTTCCAAGCAGGTTCGACGTCCAAATAACAAATGTTGGAAGCATGTTCGACTTCCCGATGCACGCAGCTCATTTTTGGAAGTAGGTTCGACTTCCCAATACACGCAGTTCATCTCAGGCCGCCCGACACCACAAGTCGACCACACGTAAGAGTGACCTTTTGCCGGAGTGGCCTTTGTTACGGGTTGATCGGGGCCCCTCCGATCGCTGAGCGCGGCGCGATGTCGCTTGCTTGCACCCTTGGATTTGGCCACTTTGCGCCCCCTTGCTCCGCGCACCAAAGGCCACCCTTGCAGAGGGCCATTCTTCCGAGCAGCCGAGCAAGGACATACCAGGCCACCCGCTCGGCCCTCAGGACTCGTCTGCAGCTCAGGGGCAGCGTTCGGGGGGCTACGTAGGCTCAGGGGGGCAACGCTTCGGGTTCGATGTGGGGGGTTTTCGGTCGTCTTCGTCTGCCCTCGGCGTCGTCTTCGTCGGCTCTTCGTCGGCTCTGTCGTCTTCGTCGGCATCGGGATGCCTTCCAGCAGGTGCGCCTCGCCGGCAGCGTTTCCGGGGGTGGCCACATCGTCGCCCCGCACGGCTGGCGGAGGCTCCGAACTATGGCCCGGATCATCATCGTCTGGTGCTCAGCGCCCGCCTCTAGGGGTGGCTGCCGCGGGTCTGCTGCTCGGCGCTCCTTGCGGGCCCGCGGGTTGACGCGCGGCCGTCTTGCTCTTGGTCTGCCAGCGATGCTCCTTCGGAGTGGAGTCCACGAAGACTCGCCGCGCAAGCTGCGGCGCATGCTCCTCGAGCTGCCGAGGGGGTCTGGTCTCAAGATCGCTCTTCCCGCCGGCAAGTGAGGGCCTCCAGTTCTCGACGTCCTCGGCGCCCGAAGTGGGTCTTCCCCACCTCGCAGCGTGGCGCGTTAGCGGGCGTCGTGGCGTCGCTCGGCGGGCGGGCCCTGCACCGCCTGCGTGGCGCTCTCCAGTACGAGCGCGCGCACAGAGGGCAGCAGCTAGCCAGCGTGGGCACCAAGCAGGCGGTTCCGAGACCACTGATTGATGCAATCGACGTGGCGCAAGCTGCGTGGCGCAAGCAAGGTGGTGCAGTGCAACGACAGCAGTGCAAGTCAGCGAAATGCAGTGCAAAGCGATGCAAAGCGATGCAAGGCAGCGCAAAGCAATGCAAAGCATTGCAGAGCGTTGCAAATCACGGCATAGCAGCGCAATGCATTGCGAAGCAATGTTGCGCCATGCTAAGCACGGCGTAGCAGGGCAAAGCAGCGCAATGCAACGCAACGCAATGCAACGCAATGCATAGCACGGCGTAGCACGGCGTAGCAATGCAACCCCAAGCAAGGCAAAGCAGCGCAGCGCAATGCAATGCAACGCAATGCAAAGCAATGCAGGGCAAAACAATGCAATGCAAAGAAATGTTACGCAAAGCGATGCAATGCAAAACTGTGCCAAAGGCACGGCGGCGACAACAAGCGTGGCAACCGACAGCCAGGCCCAGATGTAATGGCGACGGACGGCGGCGACGGGTGGCGACGGGGCGGAAACATAGCCAGACCGGCAGACAGGCCCAGACGACGGGCGGCGACGAGGCGGCGACATAGCCGCCAGGCCCAGTTCTGTAGAAAAGAAGTAAGAAGCCCTAAGTGCAAGCACTGATTGGGGATCTATGCTTCTAGTCAAATATAGATATGTGTACATACATAGAGAGAGGGTACAAAGCACACAAGGTATGTGTAATACTTTTTCCTCAAGGTGAACTATGGCAAACCTCACATGTCTTACGAAACTGAAAACGACGCCGCACAGTCACCAACAACACCTCAGTAGCCATGCTGGCTCGAGTGCTCGCTTAGCTTGGTGGGCGGTAGAGAACTGAAACTCGACGTTCTCGCGATCGCAAGCCGAGGCCGCCCATGGCATTGGCCAAGGCAAAGCTGTCTGCAGTGGCAGTCCTCCTCGTTGCAAGCGTGTTGAGAATCAAGAGGGGTGACGCGAGCAAAGCTGACATCAAGGTCATCACAGAATCGGCAGCTACAGAGAAATGGTTGTTCAAGTACAAGGACGTCATCGGGGAACCAGACTTTGAGCGCTACCGCGGTCATGTGTACCGCGTGTTGAACATCGCCTTGCATTTGCTAAAGGAGAATCCGAGGGTGGAGCAGCTTCGTGAGACGATCGAGATCGCCCTCGTCTTCCACGACATCGCTCTCTGGACAACGCGCGAACTCTCGTATGTGGTGCCCTCGAACAAGCTCGCACTCGAGACGGTTACGGGCCAGACGGAGGAGCAGAAGGCGCTCATGAGCAACATCATCCTCTATCACCACAAGATCACGCCGTTCAAGGGCGAGAACGCGGACATCGTAAGCGCGGTCATCGCCGCGGACCTCGCAGATTTCACCTTTGGCCTTGTGCGAAGCGGCTTCTCGAGCGATAACATGGCCAAGTTGCTCGCAGAGATCCCGGACACGGGCTTCCACACAACTCTGAACTTGCGCATTCCGGCGATCCGTGGTTGGAACATCTTTCGCGGCGTTTGGGAAGTGATGCAGATCTTCTACTGGTAGACGTGCAGCAGAGCGCATACACTGGAAAGCATGGCCAGCGCGCGAGCCGTAGCAGTGCCGACCCAACAAGTCCGCGCGGAATTCCGAACAGTATGCTGTGCTCGGGCCGGCTTTTTTTGGCTGCTCCCGCAGAGCCAGGGAGGGGCCAGAGGTCCGAAACTGAGCAGCAGGCAAGCGAACTGCGGCGGGCTGCCAGATCACGTTCGACAGCACAAGACGAGCACACCATGCGGTATCACTTGACGTGCGGGTCTGGCGACGCTTTGCTGGCTGGTGCATTTCTGGACCTCTCTGCGCGATTCGGCGTGGGTTTCCGGTGGTGCTCGTAAGATGAGGTTGCCCTAGCGCCCGCGCAGCGACCAGATGAAGTGGGTGCCATTTGGCCGCCCAGTGCACTTCTGCATTTTCATGTCAGTGCCTTTCTCTACGCAATACGCTCACGATGTTCAGCATTACAGCCGAGACGCTGGAAGCAGGATCAGTTTGGGTTCGGATTGTGGTCCTTCAGGTCCGTCCTTGGTTGTTCCTCCGTGCACCCAGTCGCGTCTGGAGCCAAAAAGGGGCTTCGTTTCTGATTTCGCGCATCTTTTGGCAGTGCAGCCAAACTGCATCATGAGGACGGGTATTTTTCCAGGGGTGCCGCTGCGTCCTTGCCTCTTCGGTCGTTCCTCAGCCTCTTCGGCCCGTCGAGCGCCCGTCTTGCGTCCTTCCCGTGCGTGCTTCTGATCTGGCTCGACTGCAGCTTGGCTGCCCTCCGGCGTCAGGGCTTGCACGACGTCGCTTGCACGACACAGCTTGCACGACAGCTATGTGGTGCCAAGCACACACGACATAGCTTGCACGACATGGCTGTGTGGCTATGCCTCATGGGCAACGATAAGGGGGGGACAGGCATAGGGGGGAATGCATCGACCCCCAATCGCCCATTGACCGCCGATAGGGGTCCGATAGCTCCAACCCGCCCAGGAAGGTGCGGATTCACTATCGGGGGCTTGTCGCCGATCTATCGGCGATGTATCGCCGATTCCAGGTCGATGCATCCCCCCCTATGCCAGTCCCCCCCTATCGTTGCCCCCCATAGCTTGGCTGCCCTCAGGCGTCAGGGATGTCTCGTCGCAGGCGCCGCAGCAACAGAGGGCAGCGGCGGGCCCACAGGACGCGAGGGGCGCCACCACTGCATGGTCATGGAGCTCCTCGGCAAGTCCCTCGAGGAGCGGTCCCGGGAGGAGGAGGAAGGAGGAGGAGGAGGAGGAGGAGGAGGAGGCAAGAGGGGGGGGAGGAGGAGGAGGAGGAGGAGGAGGAGGAGGAGGAGGAGGAGGCGGAGGAGGAGGAGGGAGGAGGAAGGAGGAGGACGAGGAGGACGAGGAGGAGGAGGAGGAGGAGGAGGAGGAGGAGGAGGAGGAGGAGGAGGAGGAGGGATGGGGAGGGGGAGGGGGAGGGGGGGGGGGGGGGGTGACGGAAAGGGGGGAGGAGGGAGGGGGAGGAGGGAAGGAGGAGGAGGAGGAGGAGGAGGAAGGAGGAGGAGGAGGAGGAGGGCAGGAGGAGGAGGAGGAGTAGGCAGGAGGAGGGGAGGAGGAGGCGAGGAGGAGGAAGAGGAGGAGAGGCCTCGTTCCCCTCTCAGAGAAGTCTTGGCATCGCTCGGCGTGGCGCTTGTCCCACGACCTGAGGAGGGTGTTCCCGGTTATGTTCCTTCGGGGGGTCTCTGGGGGGGGGAACTCCTTTTTTTTTTTTTTTTCTACCTTTTTTTATCTCTCTTTTTTTGTTTTTTTTTTGTTCTTTTTTTGTCTTTCTTTTTTCCTTTTTATTCTCTTCTTTCTTCTTTTTTTTTTTTTTTTTTTCTCTTTCGTTTCCTTTGTTTCGTCCTCCTCCTCCTCCTCCTCCGCCTCCTCCTCCGCCTCCTCCTCCGCCTCCTCCTCCTCCTCGGCCTTCTTGGGGGGGGGCACCCCCCCGGACATGGCCCCGGCCACGGGCGGAACGCCGGCGGAAGACGGCCGTTGTCGGCCCCACTTCGGCAGACGCGTTTCCAGGCGGCCCAGACGGCCCCAAGATGGTCCGCAAGATGGTCCAAGGGGGCCACGAGTCGCCGAAAGATCGGTCCAAGACGCCCAAGATAGCTTCAAGATGTTCCAAGAAGCCTCCAAGAGGCCCCCAGGACGGCCTCCAAGAGGGCCCAGAGAGGCAACATTCATCCATGTCCTGACGATTTGTGTGTATTTTGTGTGTTTCCGCTTTTGCGGCTTCCCGAAGCTCCCAGACGGCCCCAAGAGGCCCCAAGGGTCGCCCCAAGACAGCCGAAGAGGCCCCCACCCAGACGGCCCAGGAGGCCTCCAAGACGGCCCAAGAAGCCCCAAGAGGGGCCCCAGAGAGGGAGCACGGACCAAGTCGTCCAGCTTTTCGCCCAAGTGGACACCCAAGAGGCCCACAAGAGGCCCCCAAGAGGCTCCAAGTAGCGTCTAAGAGGCCCCCAGGAAGCCCCCAGAGCCCCAGAGGCCCCCAGGTCGGGCCCAAGAGGCGTCCAAGAGGCGTCCAAGAGGGCCCCAAGGCTGCCCAAGAGGGCCCCACGATGGCTAGACACGCTCAGACAAAGCGACACAGCGTCACAGCGTCACCACAGGAACCAACGTAATGCGCTCCATAGGCATCCTCTTCTTTGCTCTTCTCTTTCTCGCAGGGCACGCCCACTGGTCCTCCAAGGTCGGGGTTCGTGGCAATATCAGGTTTCTCGGCGAGGACCATCGAGGAGCGTCTTTGATCATCTTGCGGAAAAAACACACGCACGAGACCGAACAGCGCACGGGGAATGGACGTCCGAGCGATGGCGAGGAGGGCGATGTGAGACTACTGTAGCTTGCCCTCGGGGAACCCTCGTCGCCGCTGCCAGACGCAGCTCGGTTAGACCGGTTCGTTGGGACCCTCCTGGGAATCCAGGGGCCGATGCTGAGCGGCCGTGACCTCAGCTCGCCCTGCCTCCGATCCTCGTCTGAGGCGTTATAAAAAGGGCCTTGTCTTCGAGGATCGAAGATGTTGCCATCTCTTCCGCGGCCGAAGGTGGCGGAAGTTCGGCGGAAGCTGAAGTCGACCTCCCGAGAGATGACAGCATGTTTGGGTTCAGGGTTTCTGGAACCCGGCATCTGTCGCCATCCTGGCTCGGGCACTCGCGCCGACAGATGGCTGGCTCTGCTCGAGAGAAAGTCCTCATTGCTGGCGTCTCCGTCCTGTGGTCATTGGTCGGGCTCGCCTCCCAGACCCTCGTCGTCCTCGTCCTCGTCCTCGCCTTCCTCCTCCTCCTCCTCCTCCTCCTCCTCCGCCTCCTCCTCCTCCTCCTCCTCCTCCTCCTCCTCCTCCTCCTCCTCCTCCTCCTCCTCCTCCTCCTCCTCCTCCTCCTCCTCCTCCTCCTCCTCCCCCCTGCACGGTCGGGGGCGTTCCCTCCGCGTGCCGCGTCGCCAGCTCCGCCCCGCCGCCCTTCGGCGCGACACGCTGGCCACCGCCCCCAATAATTATCCCGGGCGCCCGTGACTCGCGAGCGCTGCCCGGCCCCCCGCCCCGCGGACGGCGGCGCGGCGCGCTGTCGGCTCGCAGGGCACGGCGTGCCGCAGGTGCCGCCGCCGGGGGCGCTGGCCGTAAGTCGGCCCTGTCCTTGTCCCTCTACTACAGGGGGGATATTCAAAACTAGCATAAAAAATAGCCGGGGCATTCTTTTGTGAGTATTTTGGGGCATCGTTTGAGTATTGTTTGCGTATTTTTTTGTTCGCCCCGAATCCCCCTGTAGGGGGACAGGCCCGACCTAACGCTGGCCTTGCAAGATCCGGTGCGCCTCGCCCGGTAGAGGTCTGCAAACGGTACCCCTTTCCGTGTCACGCCAGCGCTGCGCGGGGCGGCGCTCGAGGTGAGCAGCTCTGCGCGGTCGGAGGCCGGCAGCGGCAGGGTGCCGGTCGCGGAGCACACCTGCTCGAGGCAGCGGGGCTGCTTCTGGCTTTGTCGTAGCAGGAGGAGCAGGAGCGGTGCAAAAGTCTGCGTACCAGCCAGCAGGAGCCGAAAGTTGAGGAGGAGGAGGAGGAGGAGGAGGAGGAGGAGGAGGAGGAGGAGCGGGAGGAGGAGGAGGGGGCAGAGCGCGACAAGAAGAGCGCGAGCACCTTGACCAACGAGCGGGGGCAGCTGGCGACGTTAGGGATGAAACCCACCGTTGGCCGTTCAGGACCGGGTGCAGGAATGCAAGGGCAAGCTGAACGTGACATCTACGGTGCTGGTCGCGGAACAGATCCTTCGGCGTATAGAGTACCTCCACAGCAAGGCACGCGAGGGGGGTACGGAGAGAACGGGCGGAGGGATCGGGGCGGTGTGTATGTGGTCACTATTGCCACGCACGCTACGAAACGACTTCATATGCGACAGTGCTGTAGAAGAGGGGGGGAGAGAGAGAGAGAGAGAGAGAGAGAAAATGTCATCGGCGCGCCCAAGGGGGAATGCAGAGGGGGCGGGTCTTCTCAGAAGGCTCAGAGGGCATCCGGCCTGCTGAGAAGTTGTCAGAACCTTCTTCGAAGCCACAGGGGGGCTTCCCAAAAGGCACGAAGGGCTTCTTCGAAGCCCCGCTGCCTTCTGAGAAGGCCTGCCCCCCCCCCTCACTTCTCCCCTCCGCGCGCTGCCGATTTTCGCGGTTGGCCATACGACCCGAGTGGCCTTCCGCTCTTCCCGACGGCCCCTCCCTGTCTCAGCGTGCCCTCCTCGAGGCCAGGAGTTCGTAGTCCTCTTCGTCCTTGTGCTCCTATCCCCCCCCCTTTTCCTCCTTCTACCCCTCCTCTTTCCCGGTCGAGCTCTGCTCGAAGAAGGAAGCACGGCATGCACATAAATGTTCGAAGGTCCGCGCGGATTTCTTGGATCGGCGTTGGGCCCCATTGGCGGCGCCTCCAGCGCCGCCTCTGGCGCGCGCAGCGCGCCAGGGAGGGGGCCCAGTGGCGACCCAAGACACCCGCGCGGACCCCCGAGAGTCCAAGTCTGCGCGCCGCTGCTCGACCCTCTGTCTGGGCACCCTCGCCACGCTGCTCCCCCCCCTCGCCGAGCTCGGTGCCCGCCCGGGGGGCCCCCCCCCCCCCCCGTGGGCGCGAGCGCGTCGCGGCCGGGGCCCTCCAACAAAGAAAGGGCGGCGCGGGGGCGCGAGGGCGCGAAGGTCGCCGCGCACCGCGGGGCGCGAGGCGCGAAGCCAGGCGACCTGGGAGTAGTCGACGACACGCAAGAGCGACCTTTCGCCAGAGTGACCCCTGGTGCGGGCTCATCGGGGTCCGCCCGATCGCGGAGCGCGATGCGGCAGCAGCGGCCTCTGCGCTCGGAGCCGGCCCCTGCGCGCAGAGGTCGCCTCTATGGGGTCACTCCGTACGTGCAGCCGAGGGATGCAGAGGGTGACCCCTCCCCCCCCTCCCGCTGCCTCGGCCGTAGGACGGAGGAGGAGGAGGAGGAGGAGGAGGAGGAGGAGGAGGAGGAGGAGGAGGAGGAGGAGGAGGAGGAGGAGGAGGAGGAGGAGGAGGAGGAGGAGGAGGAGGAGGGGAGGGGAGGAGGAGGAGG